ATTAAATCAAATACATTTGCTTGTAATTATTGATACTTTCATTACAATTTTGTAATGATTACTTTTCATGAAAATTTGTGATCTTTTAATGTAACAGGGCAGCCCTGAATGAAATAGTCTTTATTATGTTCTGTTTATTGTAAAGTGGATGATAATTTTTGTTGGAATATAGTATAGCATTGAACTCTTGTAGCAATAATTCATCAATATAGATGGTATCACACCAGCCTGTGTCACCAGACTTTGCACTTTTGGCTGCCAGTACAAATTTTTTTTATGGAAATTTCTTAAATTACAAATGGACAATTTTAAATAAAATCAGGTCATGTCCATTTCCTCAAAAATTTTCTATAGTAAAGATTGAAACAGAATTATATCCACTTTATGACATAGAGGATATTCAAGTTTTTTCTATAAATACATGATTTATTTTCATCAAGTGGTATGAAAATAAATATTTCATGAGTGGCGGTAGCCACGAGTGAAATATGGTAATTTTCATGCCACAAGATGAAAATAAAAGATGTATTTATAGAAAAAACTTGAATTTTCTGTTTATTATATACATTTTTCTCTTTTTTGCGATAAAATTTGAAAGACTTTCCCTTAAATTTTGTGTACTTGCAGAATTTAAAAGAAAGTAGTCCAGGAAGACACCAGTGAAAATACGGAAAATATGTTTCACTGCAGTGAAAAATAAATTTTCACATTGAAAATACGGAAAATGATAATACGCATTTTATTTCATCAATATTTCTCATTATTTCATTTATAAGTATATAATAAAGTGATTTATTGGTTTTGTATAAGAATGTCATGTGATAAGTCATGTGATTGGAACAGTATTGCATTATGGGTATTGTGGTTCAGTTCTGTTGTATCATAAGGTTGATTATGATTCTTTTTTTTTAGATCTGCATGGCATGTTTTAATGACATTTTGTATTGTTGATATCTAAAGCTTTTGATTTTGTCATTATCGTTTTGAAATATTTTGTTACATTTATTAGAGTCGGACAATATTTCTTGTCATCATTTTTATTTTGTTTTTCCATGTTGACCTTTAACCTGCTTGAACTGAAGACTTGGTAAACCTTTACCACCAGTATAGAGCCTGGCCTGAGCATACCATGTAGTCTGAGTCCAGACTCTATACTGGTAGTAACTCAACTTGGGAATTTTCAGATTGAAACCCTTAAAGCTGCATGCCTCTAATTTTAAGGAAAATTAAATTTGAGAAAAATGTGCTAAAATTTTAAGAAAAGTAAAATGTTTCAAGACTGAAGTAATGATTTACATGTTATATGCGATTAAGGACTGATTTTGCGGTATTAATTACCATATTTATACTGCGTTACTAACGCAGTAAGGGCTAATTTTGCTTATTTTGACCTCTTTAAGGTAATTTACGTTAATTGCAAATGCTGTTTGCAATCTGTAAGTTTTTTTCTTTGTTCGCTTCCCAATATTTGACTTAATATTTGACTTGTTAATACATTTTTGAAATTTTCATGAAAATAAGCATGAATCTGGAGGCATGCTCCTTTAAACTTTAAATGGGCTGTTCCAGATTCTAAGCTTGGAAAATCTATGGCATATGCTCAGCAGGTTAAGTGTTAAATGTTAGATAATATATTATCATATACTTTATTATTATCATTATTATAATGTACTATATGTAAATGGTAAATATTGTTATAATTAATTAGCTGAACAACTGGCAGCAGGGTGAGTTTATAGTTAATATTGTTATAAAGTTAGATCAGACAGTTATACAAGTTACATTATCACATTAACTGTGTGTTTAGACTGCTAGTACCCATTCAGCTAGCACACTTACGAGCCAGTCTGCACTATTGCTCAATGTGACAAAATCTTTATCATTGGCTCCTGTATTCAAACCCTTGAACTAATAATGGACAATTTCAAATTAAATATTTGACATGTCCATTACAGTCATGGATATAATGAACCCTTTTCAAAAATACATTTATATGGTGATATCCCTTTATAACTCTGATAATACCGTTTTGTTTTCAATTAATGCGTTAATGCCCCCCCCCCCCCGCCCCTTTTCCCTCCAAGTAGTCCCCCACCACCACATTTTGTGGTAAAAAAAATCTTACCTTATAGATTCATTATCTTCATAATAATTTGTATTTTATTATGCCCCCATTTCGAAGAAAAGGGGGTATATTGCTTTGCACTTGTCGGTCCGTTGGTCCATCGGTCCGTAGACCAAATGGTTTCCGAGTGATAACTAAAGAACCCTTAGGCCTAGGAACTTCAAACTTGGTATGGTGATTGGTCATGACCAGTAGATGACCCCTATTGATTATGGGGTCAAGGGGTCAAAGGTCAAGGTCACATTGACCTTGTAAGCAAAAACGGTTTCCGATCAATAACTAAAGAACCTTAAGGCCTAGGAACTTCAAACTTGGTAAGGTGATTGGTCATGACCAGTAGATGACCCCTATTGATTTTGGGGTCAAAGGGTCAAAGGTCAAGGTCACATTGACCTTGTAAGCAAAAACGGTTTCCGATCAATAACTAAAGAACCTTAAGGCCTAGGAACTTCAAACTTGGTATGGTGATTGGTCATGATCAGTAGATGATCCCTATTGATTTTGGGGTCAAGGGGTCAAAGGTCAAGGTCACATTGACCTTGTAAGCAAAAACGGTTTCCAATCAATAACTAAAGAACTTTAAGGCCTAGGAACTTCAAACTTGGTATGGTGATTGGTCATGATCAGTAGATGACCCCTATTGATTTTGGGGTCAAGGGGTCAAAGGTCAAGGTCACATTGACCTCTTGGGTAAAAACGGTTTCTGATCAATAACAAAAGAACCCTTAGGCCTAGGAACTTCAAACTTGGTATGGTGATTGGTCATGACCAGCAGATGACCCCTATTGATTTTGGGGTTAAGGGGTCAAAGGTCAAGGTCACATTGACCTTGTAGGTAAAAACGGTTTCCGATCAATTAACTAAGAACGCTTAGGCCTAGGAACTTCAAACTTTGTATGATGATTGGTCGTGACCAGCAGATGACCCCTATTGAGTTTTGGGTCAAGGGGTCAAAGGTTAAGGTCATGACCAGTAGATACTTGATAACCCTTATTAATTGTTTGATCACTGGGTCAGAAGTCATGCATAATAACCTTATCACATGACTAATTGGCTGCTGATAGGGGGCATACATGTTTTACAAACATATCTTGTTACTTTGGTATTTTATTACTATCACCAAATATTGAATATTGTATGATGTTAAAATGATAAAGTAATGCTAATGATCACAATTTTCTAAAAAAAATTATATCACTAATACAGTTTGTTTATCAAAAGTAAACTTATTTTAAAATGAGCTTTGTTTGAAAATAATTACACAAGTGTTAAATTTTCCACATTGCTTAACTTAAACCACAGCTATATAATATAGTACACTGCTTTAAATACAAGTTAAATGAATGGCATGCAGTTGATAATTGTAACCTTTAGCAAGCAGGCAGCGACTGAATCTACCCATGTGACCACTGCAGACCAAGGTCAGCCGGCACATCTATGTTGTCTGATTATAGTCTGCACTGTTCACTATTCAGTAAGTGAAATTTTCCCTAAAAAGGATAAATGGTTTAGTCCAGATAGAAAGACGGGCAAGTCAATTTAAAATATTTAGGGTGGTTAGGGTTAATATCTTCATAATAAAGTAATAGCATGAGTGTTACTATATATAGTAACAATAGTCTAGTAATTATATATATGTACCATTTATGAACCAGAGTTAGTACCCCTGGCTAAGACAGTACAACATAACTGTCCTAGCTGTAATCTTAATTACTTTCAAAATCTAAATTTCAAATTAACCTAAGTTAAACTATTTTATTTCTGTATTGGAGGTCCTTATTAAATGACAAGAGGTACAGGTATACATATAAGTTTACTGGAGAAATTATGTTATATTAGTAAAATTGCATAGTCATTACCACCTTTAAGTAGACATAATAATATGGAGTAAATACAAATTTTGATATTTCCTGACTTGCACTTGTTTATTTTTGTACAAAAGGAGACTTTTGATGCAAAAAAAAAACTGTTAAGTTAATAAACAACTAGATTTTTTCAGGTGCTAATAGTTACTCTTGTATGACCCTAATGTTTGAACTAATCAGAAAATTAGATGTTGAATCAAGAAAACAGAATGATCAGATTTTTTAATTGTTAACCCTTCACCTGCTGGAACTGGAGTTGGCTTGCCTTTGCCACCAGTATATAGCCAGGTCCGTCTGCTGACCTGTGTTATTTGATCAAGTTTTTTATGGATTTAACTCAATACAGGATTGGAGCAGTACCTCTAGACGCTTGCAGAAATCATGATCACAAATAGACAAATATGATTTTTTTTTTGCCAAATTTCACATTTTTCATCAGGCTGAAAAGATGAATTAGACGTTTTAAAGTTCATTCTGTAAGGTGAAAAGGCGAGGTTTTAGCATTTAATCATTCAAGCGTCTTGTTCGGTATGTACCAGAATACGGTATTTAGTGTGGTGCTCCAATCCTTTTTTTAGTCTCACTCGTTTTTTATATTGTCGGTAGTTAGATTTTTTTTGGTATTTTGATATTGAAATCCCTTAATTGTCAAAGTGGATTGTTCCAAATTGAAAGCTGGGCAAGTCCATTATATAAGTTCAGCAGGGTAAGGGTTGTTCATTGTAACCAATGTATAATGAATTTCTTACACTTGCATAAAATATTATTAAAATGGAAAATATGCTTTTTAATTACTTCATTTGTAAGCGAAATTTTTTTTTTTTTACAGATTTACATGAAATCTTGAAGTTTTCTTACATGAAATCTTGACTTCTCCTTACATGAATTAATTCAGCACTTACTAAATTATAATTGTTGTTCAAACTTTGTACTGTTTTTACTGCGGTTTATATTATGTAATTCATGAGATGACAGAGACATATCAATCAAGGTTTGATGAAATATTTCAGGTATGCGTGCGAAGTCGATGAACCTGGATCAACTTCCGGTGCTGACGAGAGGTTCTAAAACGTTCAATCCCCGGAGGGCACAGTCTACATTTGTTCGTAGCTCTTCAAAAACGGAGGAAGACGATTCAGAACCAGTCAAATTTGCTGCACTCCCACCAATGAAAGAAGTTTATACTGAAAGATTTTGATTATTTATGATATATAAAGAGACTTGTACGATATAAACTGATGCCATATTGTCCTGTCTATGTTTATCATTTACTTTATGTTATTGATATATGTATGCGATGCATTTAATGGAGAGCTGGATTAAGTTTGACCACTCTACACTGCTGTTTTGATGTTTTACTAATTGTAACCACAGACCATGAACTTACAGTAATTAAAGTACATGTTGTAACACAGACTATGTTTTACTTCAGGTTAATGAAGAAATAAAACATATTATATGAAGCACAATACACTTTGACTAAAGTTATACACAGTGCAATATGGCTTAAGTTATACACAGTGCACTATGACTATAGTTATACACAGTGCACTATGGCTAAAGTTATACACAGTGCACTATAACAAAAGGTATACTCAGTACACTATGACTAAAGTTATATGCAGTGCACTATGACTAAAGTTATTCGCAGTGCACTATGACTAAAGGTATACACAGAGCACTATGACTAAAGTTATACACAGTACACTTTGACTAAAATTATACACAGTGCACTATGGCTAAAGTTATACGCAGTGCACTATGACTAAAGTTATACGCAGTGCACTATGACTAAAGGTATACACAGTACACTGTGACTAAAGGTATACACAGTACACTATGACTAAAATTATACACAGTGCACTATGGCTAAAGTTATACACAGTGCACTATGACTTGAGTTATATACAGTGAACTATGGCTAAAGTTATACACAGTGCACTATGACTTGAGTTATATACAGTGCACTATGACTAAAGTTATACACAGTACACTATGACTTAAGTTATACACAGTGCACTATGACTAAAGTTATACACAGTGCACTATGACTTAAGTTATACACAGTGCACTATGACTTAAAGTTATACACAGTGCACTATGACTTAAAGTTATACACAGTGCACTATGACTTAAAGTTATACACAGTGCACTATGACTAAAGTTATACACAGTACACTATGACTAAAGTTATACACAGTGCATTAAGACTTAAGATATACACAGTGCACTATGACTAAAGTTATACACAGTGCACTGTGACTTAAGCTATACACAGTGCACTATGACTAAAGTTATACACAGTGCATTAAGACTTAAGATATACACAGTGCACTATGACTAAAGTTATACACATTGCACTGTGACTTAAGCTATACACAGTGCACTATGACTAAAGTTATACACAGTACACTATGACTAAAGTTATACACAGTACACTATGACTAAAGTATACACAGTGCACTATGACGAAAGTTATTCACAGTACACTATGACTAAAGTTATACACAGTGCACTATGCCTAAAGTTATACACAGTGCACTATGACTTAAGTTATACACAGTGCACTATGACTAAAGTTATACACAGTGCACTTTGACTCAAGTTATACACAGTGCACTATGACTAAAGTTACACACAGTGAACTATGACTAAAGTTATACACAGTGCACTATGACTAAAGTTATACACAGTGAACTATGCCTAAAGTTATACACAGTGCACTATATATGTCGCTTATTGTTCATACATTATTCTAGTTAAAATCTCTAGCTGTGTTAAAGTGTTTACATTTTAATGTTTATGTGTAACTTATTTTGGCACTCACAAGGGTAAGCTGTCCATATGTGTGCATTTGAACACTTGCTTCTATATACTTGATTGCTATGCACATGAACTATAAAAATTGTGAATGCCTCAATATTGCAAAGTTAAAATTAAAAATTTGTTTTAAATATACATTCTTGTACAAGAACACTCATAATGATCTTCCAGTATAATAATTGTCTCAGTTTTGATTGCTTGATGTAATAATGAATATATGAGCCACGTCATGACAAAACCAAAGTAATGCGTTTGCGACCAGCATGGATCCAGACCAGCCTGGGCATCCGCGCAGTCTGATCAGGATCCCTGCTGTTCGTTATCAGTTTCTTTACTTGTTATATGGTCTGAAAGCGAACAGCATGGATACTGATCAGACTGCGCGGATGCGCAGGCTGGTCTGGATCCATGCTGGTCGCAAACCCATTATGTTGGTTTTTTCGTGACGCGGCTCATATTAAAGAATGGTTACATATCTTTTCAGATTAAAACAGTTCAGTAATTTACCTCTATGAATTCACATGTGATGTAAGAATTACTATGAAATATATCTTGTCTTGTTAATATTGAAACTGTGTGCTATTTTATTACTTTAATGTAGAAATAAGAATAGTTTTTTTTTTTCTTTTTTTCTGGGATGTGCATTAAGCATGTATTGCTCACATTTTTGCTTTGTATAGAATTTTATTATAATGCAGCACTATTGCTGAAAGAAATTTTTCACTCATGTTAAAGCAGCATGCCTTCAAAATCATCTTAAATGTCATGATTTTTTTAAAGAAATTGTTTCAGAGAACATACAAAGTTATTTACACATTGTAAACATCACTTACTGATACAATCCATTTAATGGCACAAAAGATTCAAAATTGGCAAAAACAAGCTTTACCCCTAGGTTATGCAGTAGAAATATAGTGATAAAATAGCAAAATTGGTCATTAATTGTATATTACATTGTACATTTAAAATAATACTTTATTGTATATGGTATGTTTATACTTCTCCTTAATTAAGTCATGGTACATTTTCATAAAGTTTTATTTTCTTGAAATATTTTGGATTTTCTGGAGGCATGTAGCTTTAAGATGGTTAAAGATTTATTTAGTTTAGCAGTTTTTAGTTTAGCTTGATTAAGAATCATGTAGCTTGTTTAAAACATTCTCAGATGTGAGTTTACTTCCTGGAACTTACTAACTTACATTATATAATATCAGAAAACATGATATTTTACTTAAACTGAAGAATAAAGATAAAATTTAAATTAAGTGCATGTGTTTGGTTAAGTGATAGACATTATAAGTTTTTGTACACATGCAGGCTTAAGACTTGACTAAGCTTACTTACACTGATTTTGTTAAACATTGTTTAGAATTTACAACTGTCCTTTGTTATTGTTTTAGGATTGCATATTTTTTCATTCCATTATTACATTAACATGTACATGTATAGGATAATCAAACAAACCATACAAACATAAACATTTAGTAATTATTTAATGCAAATGTTTTTTTTTTAACTTTTCTAGGAAAGTTCTAAAAATACTAGTATATAGAATGTGTTCAAAATAAAATGTTTTCAGAAACAAATGAGAAAAAAAACATATCTGTCTTAAAGTTTTGTTATGATTGTTGATACCTGTCTAAGATATCCATGTAAGAATTTTTTACATTCGTTAAATGATGCACTGACTTAACTCAACAAATGTAAGGAAAGTAAAGCAGTATTTAATGAAATCATTGAAATCTAACAGCTGGTATTATCATAGAATTTTTATTGTTGTTGGAGATATCAGTAGTAAATATGTAAACAATGACGTTTTTTTTTCATTATTCTCAATTATTGTCAGGTTTTCTGTAAAGTTTATGTTTTCCATAAATTTTTGTAAATTTTAAACTTCAGAAAATGTTCAGGGGAACTTAAACACAGTGGATAAACCAAATTATTATACCATGGATTTACAAGCCTACAGAATTCAATGAAAGGTGAATAGATTGCTAAAATTGAAGAACAGCTTCACCCATATTATTACCTCCCTTTACAAATATTGGTTTAATACTCAGACATTTTCTGACAACTCTATCTTCAATATTCTGTATATTAATAACATAAAAATATAAACAGTCTGGGACATTTGTTCTGACAATTACATATTTAAGGAAACAAATTGTAAGAATTTTACATTGTTAATGTATTGATAGCTAATGTTGATTACACAACATTGTTTATTTAATAAAAGAAGTGTCTGACATTTTGCTATTTCAGGTTTAATAAATATTATTACATGCATATGAATATTGAAAATTCACTTTTTGTTTGATTCATGCTACATGTACATGAAGCTGAGGTGCAAAAGATGAAAAACATACATTTTTTAAATCTTACATAAATCAACTGGGACAAATCAAACAGAAGAAATATGAAATAGATAAGCAAGAAATATACTCAAAATAATACTGAAAATCAGTATTTAAGTTCAATTCAGCTCAATTTAAGTCTATGGCGGTAAAGCACTTCATTTTTAGGTCATTTGGCAAAACAAAATTGATTATTCTTTAAAAACAAAAAGAGCAAAATGTTCTGAACTTTTGCACAGAAGGTACTGGTATAACATTCCATACATAGTATGTTATAAAATCCAAAAAATACATTTCCAGTCCCATGTTTAAAAGCCTCAGTGGAGTCCCTTTAAATTAAAAACCTTAGTGGAGTCCCTTTAAACTTCCATTCATCATTTTATGTTGTGTAACAATATAAACAACTACACAAGGGTGTCATTCATCTGTTATATCATAGAGACTTACATATCACATTGTCCTGTAGTAATGTCTAATGTTATATTGTATGTTTTGTTATATCACCAGATCTGAATATATGCTCCTTTTATATGTCCTATATTCTTCTGTTTAAGAAGATTTATTTTGTGTTTTATATGTTATTAACAGTGTGTTTTATAAGTTATAAAGTTTTGTGACACTTTTTTTTGACAAGTTATATGACCTAGTAAAACAGTTGTGTATTTAGGCAAGGATAGTCCTGGCAACCATTTATACATGGCCATATAACCTGTCAATACACTTTATAAGAAATTTAAGGAATTTAAAATTCTACATGAGTGTTTCTTTGATTAAAATCAAATTGAATTATCAGTTGGAAGCAGGGGTATATATCTGTAATATGAATGTAACGTTAGTCCAATGAAAATTAGCTTAACAAATGTACAGTAATACAAAATGTATAGAGTAACATAGCAACATAGCACCAGCTAAATTGTTAAAGAGTGTTGGACTGTGAATCGGGTAAATATTTACTTACGCCACTACACAGTATCAGAACTTTATACATGTACATGCATCAAGTGTCATGTCTCTCTTTTTATGTCCCATATTAATGTTTAACCTTATTAAGTTGTGTAATACAATTTCTTGTTTTGACTATAAATATTTCATTGTGCCTGTATTATGTATTAAGACAATGACTATATAAATGAATAAATATGATCAGACTGTACAGATATAAATTCTGGTCTGAATGTAAGTACTGGTATAGCCATTAAAATGGCAATTTTAAATTTGAGATAACAGTACAAAATATAAAGTTTGATTTGATCATATCCTACTTAAAATTTCTCAAAATTACTAGTTTGTAAGTTGCCTTCAAGAATTTACTGTGTTTAGATACAGATTAGCTAGAAACATATCTGTTGACAACATTTTTCTGATTCCTATTAATATAACAAAAAGGCTAGTAATATTCTGAAGCTGAGTTACTTTATATTAATGAAAAAACTTAAATTGTTACAAATTAAGATTTCCTATTTTTGCGATTCCCGGTTTTAATAATTGTCTCTATATAATGTGTCATATTTTGGTCCAATTTTTTTGATGACCAATAATTTATCGATGTATCACACCATTGTTCTATAAACTATCTACATGTTTATTATGCTCATTAATTTTGTTCTGTAAATTTATGTAATTTATAAGCATTTACTTTGTTTCTTAACTACCGTTCAGTAAATGACCCAAATATTGTTAATATAATTTTTATATAGCACTAAACCTTGCACCCACCAGGTTCATGATAAAATGTTAAGTTTCTATGAAGTTTTTTTTATTTCAAACAGAAAGTCAAATTAACATGGCTTCATCAGACTGTTTCATTTTAAATCAGATTTTAAGTATTTAAAGAAAGAATAACATGATGTTTAAAAATGGTATTAACTTTGAGTGTAGTGTCCTGATTCTACATGCTTATAGTTATATTATTAGTTATAAAGATTGTTGACAGGTTATATGGCCGTATATAAACGGCTGTTTGTAAATATAACCCGAGCCGCTAGGCGAGGGTTATATTACAAACAGCCGTTTATATACGGCCATATAACCTATCAACAATCTTTATAACGAATTTATAATACAGCAAACATAATTTTTTAGAGAGAAAAAAAAAAGATTTTTCCATGAATCGACAACAGCCGTGTATATAAAACTATATAAACGTCGCGATTATCCAATGAAAAGCGACGTTACAAACGTGCAGTATTATAAACATGTAATGATGGCCAATAGACAACATCTTAATGATGTACATTTCACTGTTACATAGTTAGTCAAAGAAAAGAATTTTCATGCCAACATGCTTATACACAGCAAGATAATAAGAAAAAAGAACTTTATTCAGTTCGGAAATAATTTACTTGATGTAAATTAATATATAATGTGTCAAGATTACACTATTAACAAAAGGAATATATATTATTGTTCTGGAAAGCCAAGTTTTTATGATATAAAGATTAAATGAGAAACATGTTAAAATTTACATCACAAAGTAGAGCTTTTATATGTGTTGTACAATGTATGATGTTATTTGTTAATTAGAATTTCTGTGATATGTGAATATATCTGGGCACATATGTTAATTGTTAGCAATGTTATACAATGTATGGGGATGTTTTTTCACGCCAAGATTTTGTGATTGTTTGTCTGAGAATGAATATGTCTGTATGAATTAAAGTTAAATAATGAGGGTTTTTTTCCCCGTCATAGATACTACATACCATATTTTTGTCTGTCTGTCTGTCTGTCTGTCTGTCTGTCTGTCTGTCTGTATGTCTGTCTGTCTGTATGTACCAGTGTGAAAGTAATGATGGTCTTCCTACACTGTCAGGCACTCTAGAGTATAGACCATAAGCACTTGTAAGTCTGTCCTCTTTTTATCTTCTTTTTTTCGGGGGGGGGGGGGGGGGGGACTTTGTACTTACTTTATTCAGATCAT